CCTTTCAGCACCTAAGCAAGTAATGCAGTGACCATTGATATGTGGACATATTCCAGACAAATGTTTTTTAATTTCCTTTTCTATTTCTTTCTTTGATAAGTGAGACTTGTATAATCTAGACTTGTTTTTTACCCTCAAGACATCTAAAGAGAACAGTTTTTCTCCTTCCAAACTGACCACCAAATACATGTAGGGATATTCTAGATACATGGAAGTCAAACAAAAGTGACACTTCTGAAACACCCTTATTTCTGAAGATTCCATAATACAAATTGGATATTGTAGCACAGATTGCACTTTTAGAAGTACAAGTAACTAATCAATAAGAGAATTCCATACAGCAGGAAAATGAAACATTTAAGAAAGCCCTAAAAATGCTGCCAAGTCAAAGTGAAGTATTCAGAGATCAGACAAGTATAGTCATTAAAGCCAGTCCAAGTCAAAAGTTCCTAATCTATAGGATATTGACCTGAGAAAAGTATCCTTGGTAAGCAGATCCGTGCAAAGGTGTCAAATCAACCCCAAAGTAGTTTTGTTGCTGCCAAAAGGTCGCCTGGATGACAAGGAATAAAAGTAATATCAAGATATTGTCTGGCAGTTCAAAAAGATAATGAAAACAATGGTAACTAAATCATATAATCCAAAAGGACGAAATAAAGCATATAAAAGCAAAAGAAAGTCCAAGTGCAGCCTATCAGATATTTGTAGAAGCTAGTGGTAAATGCTAGTAGTAATTGGATAAAGGTTTTGGACAATGAGATTTTTGCCAATAACTTGCCTGAATCATTAAAACTTGTTAAAAAGAAAAAGGAAAGACAATGAAGATTCAACAGACAGCCACGGTGATGTTAAAGCTTGAATACCAAAAGTTCTACTTGTCACACTGAATTTAGATGGCATTCAGTTTGCTTCTATCTTATCCTCATATCTACCCAGCCACAGATTCATAAGATATTCCGTTAGCAATCGAGGTCTCATTCTCTTAAGAGCGCAGATGAACAAAATTTCAGTACTTTTCACTGGCAAAACTGCAAAAGAACAACTTTTACAGGAGGGCTACAGTGCATTCAAGAAAAGTTTCAGAATCTTCTCTGGGAACACCACAATTACAAATGAACACTATCCACCTCAACTACTACTACGCCTCAACAAACCTCTTAAATCAATCAAAACACTTAATATGGAAGAAAACATAGTATCCATCAATCTTCCTTCCCTGAAGAGAAGGAGCTGCGGTTTTCTTTCCTCTCTTTCTCTTGGTTGGAGGAGGGGAACATGAAGGGGATCCAGAGAAGAAAGGAGAAAATTTTAGAACAGAACTACTCCAAGATCAAGAAAAAAGGTGATATGATCCAGTGTGTACCTTATTTGCTATTTCCATATACAAATATTCGTCACTAAATGGTGCCATGTGTATTCTACAAGAGTAAAAGGAAACATAAGCTAAAAATGGTGATAACATCATATCCGAGACGAAACAAATGAAATAAAACGGTTACATGCTGGTTTATGTAATGCATGCTAAGACACTTGATGGAATTCGTGCAGAAATATGTAAATGCAACCAATAAAGGAAGGAAATATGCATTAGATTCAGCCCAAATGCTATGAGTAATCAAGTAAACATGTGCAAAAGGGGAAAGAAGATCTTTAGAAAGAATAAAGGGGGAACTGGCAGCCAACATATATACACACCAGACGAGACTGAGAATTAAGCTTGAAAGTTCATATAAAGCCCTGAGAAAACAAAACTAGAGTGGATAGCTGAAACTGTGGGTCAATTAGTTATATCAACATACTCCAATCTCCTAAACTAATCCATTTAAGGAACAAGCTGCGCTACTCAAGATGAAGCAAATAATCATTACCAATGCAACTCACATGCAAAAGTTGAGATATTATATCTAACACTAATATTAATGTCACGTTTCATTTCTAAATTAGCAGCACACTCAATATGCCAGAAAGATAAGACAGTAAAATAACAATTTAATGAAGAATATTAGCTTCAAATTATTTGGCATGACAGAGACATTTGATGGGATAAAAACAAAGAACAGTTGAGCGAAATGACTATGAGAACAAATCCTTACAAGAAAATTGCAGACATCATCATTGATTTGACAAGGCAAGGCTCCTCAATGTGCTGACAAGAAATAAAATTACCTTCCAACACCAGGAAACATTTTTCCATTTTGAACAAGAAATCGGTCTCTTGCAATCACGTAGGACTCCAACATTCTTTCATTAACTAACAAAGTACCTGTAAGGTATAAGCACTGCATCACACACTCAGCAGGTTTAAGCATGTCCCTTTTGCAATGAATAGAATATTCATTGCATTCTGGTTATTCTGGATTAACACGTTCTACCATATTTTGGAAGATTGCAATCCTATTTTTTGCTTGAACTGAAAAGAGAACTCAACAAAATTCATATCACGAGCAAAGAAAGAATGTCCAGGTAAATAGATGATAGCCCTTCTTTTCTTCTTCTCCGCCCTGTGTTGTCAAAGGCTCATTTAAGGAGTGCTTAAGCCCTGAAGCTTAGAAAAGCTCAAGGAGGGCGTTTCTCTTAAGCTGCGCTTCAGAGTAAGGCAAGGAACTAAGACATGCCCCTCATTGCCCATGAATTGTATTGGGAATCAAGTGGCACTAAACAGCAAATATAATCAGAAAATAAACATATTAGTGTAAAGGAAAACATTATAAATGAATCGGTTACTTTGTTTTTGAATAACATATATATTTTATTTTTTCCCATAGTCGCGCCTTTTTTTACTAAAGCCCACACTTTAAGTGCGCTTTGCACTTAAGACCCTAATAGATCTACATTGCTTTTTAGAGCTTTTCGCCTTTGATAACACTGTCTCCACCTACACACAAACCCAGCTTTTTTTTGCAAAATGCTGGACTGCATTTGACTCGTAATGAACAAAGCAGCCTCTCCTGAAGTCCTCTATAACTTTGACTTCCCATTTCATTATAAAGAAAAAGACAGAGATAAGTGACAGAACCAAAAGTATGTTGTTCAGATAACTAAAACGAAAACCAGAATTGAAAGAAAATAACAGAAAATTATTTCTTGGACTTAAAAAAGAAGTGCTCATTTTTAACGGCCAAAAGGAACCTATTGTTTTAGTTAGCTATAAGATGCAGATGCAAATATTACAAAAAGAAAAAAGAAAAAAAAAATCTTTCATGATTGATGCATCTGAGAATGAAGTTTCTGGCAAAAGCTGCAGCTGTCTGTAGTAAAATAGGACTTTAGATTCCACAATATGAAAACAAATATAGCAAATGCTGAATACTAGGAATCTTCACCCTATAAGGAAAATAGTGGATAATCAGGCAATACAAATTTAAATGCAACTCCACTTGTAGTATGTATTTTGTTAGTTTTTAGGATGTGCATTGGCTACTGGACATGTATATTTGTGTTTAATGCTCTCAGCTTTTATAGGCAATCGGAATTGTTCCTAGCACATAGGAAAAATGGATCTTCTCTTCATTTTTGTTTGGTCCACAGATTGCGCAAGCATTCATCAGATCAGATGTTGCCATTGTCTTAATCTTTCATATACTCTCTGTCTTTAATAGTATAGGTTCTTGAAAACATACTCTAACAGCAAGCTTATCTTTACTCGCTTTGCAAACATTTAATCAAATAATTAACACCGATACAGTTATAGTGATGTTTCATGAATAACTTAGCCGTCAATCCAGGGGAATAACCTAAAGTCTGACAAACTTGCAGCACGACCAAAGTATACACAATGCTCCATCTTAGAAGTTAACATGATCTATAATGAATTAAACTAACTAGACAAGCTTACCCATTGGCTCAGAGATCAAAATATCAGCTTTCTCAGGTAACTCTACATCTTCAACCTTTCCTTTGATTACCTAAACATACATGGATGAAACATTACAAAAAAGCATAACAAGCACTACCAAGATACTATAAGAATAAGTCGGATAGCACTTGAAAAGACACCGAAAAGACAAAAGAAGAATCAATCCATAAACACCACCTCAATACCATATTAAGAGGGGTCAGCTTAAACAAGTAAAAGAACACTTACTGTAATTCTTTCATTCAGTGATGGATTTCCAGCAATAAGTTTTCTTGCATATTCGGCCATTTCAGAAGCCTCTATGGCATAAACATGCTTTGCCCCGGCCTATGATTTTTTTTTGGGTGTAGAGAGGTGGGAAAAAGAAAAGATAGAGAGTAGAGATATCAGCATAACTGGCTGTGCCATGGTTGATATCATTTATCGAAATACACAAGATGCATTGGTACAAACAGATCACCTGAGCAGCAAATAATGACAAAATGCCACTACCAGCACCAACATCAACCACTATGCGACCAAGAAAATCAGCACGGTTCTCAATAACAGCAGAATAATAGGTTCCTGCAAGTTTTCATACTTGCCAAGTCAAACTCTCCATAGTGGGATTTAGCTATTTGATCCTTTAGAAATTAAAAAGAGAAGAGTTCCGTAATATTCTAGGAGCAACAAAAGGGAGCACATCATCTCGTGACACACTATGAACCTCTATAAAGAAATTCCCAGGTCATGACCAGAGGAAAAACATAGAAAATATTAAAGTTCAGAATACTACCTGTCCTTACAAAATCCTGCAACATATTCTGCTGATGCAATAGCTGCCCATAGTAGTGAAAGTACATTTTGGCAGAAGATGACTCTATTTTGTCATCAAATTTGCTTTTCGAAGTTGATACTGCTCCATTTGTCAAAGGACATTCTGAAAGAAAGACAAGAACAAGTTACATTTACACAAGTCAGCATTATTTATTCTTATATCAAAAATTTCATTAGCCCACTTGTGGTGTAAGAAACAAAAGTTTAATATCTTAAGAGACTGAAAAGCAGTTAAATCGCAGATTCTTTTTCATTAAGTAACTACAGTTAGCTTCACTGAGTAGAGCAGTACTATAGATGTCCTTAAATGCATTGATCTTACGTAATCAATTCATCAAAAATGGGGAAGTAACATGTCATGGTGAAACATTCCTAAGTTTTTGACAGGAACAATATTACTTTTCTTTTTGTTTGATAAGGTCAAATTTTATTAATAAGATACCGAGATGGTAAAGGGAAGGAACCATATTACTTTCTTATGGCAGCAAGAGCAGTTCCCTTTTTATTTACACGAGCTAAAGAAAGAAAAACCATTAATTATATAGTAAAAGGAGAACATTTATGGAGAATCTCGGCAAGACGTTTTTGAACCTTCATATTGACTTTGTATACCTAGATTAAGCTAAACATAGTCAATATCTTCTTTTTTCTTTTTTGATATGATAAACATAATCAAATATCTAAAACCAGCTTTTTCTTATTAGGAGGTCAAGTATCTAAACTGTAGTTTTTGTGGGGAATAAAAGTAAGTGCTTTAGAAAAACTCAACAAAGGAATTAGTAATCCAAGGCAACCCATAGTAGAATAGATGACAATAACCAATCAAATGTTGATAACACTTGGCAGATTATAAGGCTCTTAATACCTCGGGACATGTTAAGAAAGTAACTATCTAATTTATCTAATTCAATAACTATGCTTCCATCTCAACACTGACAATGGATTAATAGCACTTTGCTGCACTTTAATAGAATACCTTTATCAATCGTAAAAAAAAAAAAAAAAAAAAAAAACCCCAAAAAAAAAAAAAAAAAAAAAAAAAAAAGCCACAAACAAAATCCAGTAAAAGTAAAGATTCTTTCCACAACACTTCAAACATTCACAAATTGGTATCTAAGTAAATGTCACATAGAGAATGCTATAAAAAACAAGTGTTATTTCACCACACAGAATCATGAGACTAGCATCTCAGTAACAACAATATCTAGACAACTGCAAAGAATCAAATAAATCTTGAACAAACATGAAAAGCTGCAGCAGTTGTTGGAAAGGAGAATGTGGCTACTCCACAAGGTAGCATGGAAACTTGTTACAGAGCAATTGCAGACATACATCAAAACAGACCTTGAACAACCACTTCCTTCTTCCATTGTTCAAATGCACAATGGAAGGCCCTACTTTCCTCCTCGTTTCTAAATTGAATGGAAATTCCCCTTGAATATGGTATCTGGTTCAAAAGACCAAAGTTAATGCATAACATTAATATGACAACATCAAATTTCACAAACATATTCCAATTGAAATTTAAAATAAGCACATTTGACTTATTTTCCAGGACAAGATAAGTGATGTATACCAATTGACAAACACACATATTTTCCACATACATAACCGTGTAATCCTAATGCAACATGTTAAATTAATAATACGTCGAACACAAGTTTGCAGTAGTACATGTTTTCAGCATTATGCAGATTGCAGAGTAGTGCTTGATCATCTACAAACAAATATATGAGCATGAGACTCGTACAGGCAGCATATTCTAATAGATAATCTTTTAATGCTACTGTAATTATGGTAGTTAATAATTAGATTTTATTCTAATCAAAATCAAATGAAGTGGAAGCATTCCTAAGAGTCTGTTGATTCCATTGATGGTATAACATTCACTAGAAAAATCAGCATTGACAAAAGGTACTGCAACATCACAACATCTCTAGAAATCCTTACCGGACTGAACAGGATTCTAAGTTTATTTGCAGGTAAAAAACAACTAATCAGTCCAGTATCACAATATTATACGACCTTATGCTCTATATATCATACCTCTTTATTGGCTTCAGAAGCTTCAGATATGCATAGAGAGTCAGCAGGGCCTAGCTTGAATAACTGGAAAAATGAAAGAAGAACCAAGGCTAAGATAATGCCCCTCAAACACATAGCTAAAGATAAATCCTAACGAGCATGCATCAGTTAAAATTATCACGTTTTCAGTTTTATTCTCCATTTTCTGCACTTCTCTGCTAAAAACCACTGGTCAGTCTGTTTGACTGTTGGTTACTGACTAGAAAACGTGAGAGAAAATGTACAAAATGTGAAAGCCCCACCACAACTTTAACTAATTCAATAAGGTTATTCATGTATAAGAAAGTGCAGAAAATGTGAGCCAAAAGATCACCATCATTATTATTACTTCATACTTACCATCCATCCCAAATATATAACATTAACATGGTTTGGTTATTCAAATGGCTTTTTCAACTTTTAAAGTTTTGTTCTTTATAGTATATTAACGTAGTTTCCGAATATATAATAGATTTATCTAAATGAAATTTATGAGTTATAGTATTTTTACTAGTTTTAAAAAAATTACTCCCTTCATCCCAATTTACGTGATACTCTTTACTTTTTATATTTAAATTTAATTTTAAACTTTCTATTACCCTTAATAAGATGTTTTGTAACAACACAAATATCACACTGACTACATGTTTCTTCCTTTCTTAAACTACATGCCCAGTCGTCAGATTGCATCACGTAAATTGTGACGGACGGAGTAACATGATTAGTTGGTTCAAATGGCCTTTTTAATTAAAATGTTTTGTTCTTTATGTAGTATTTTATGAAGTTTCTAAAACATACAGTAAAATTATCTATAAGAAATTAAGAAATTTTGTGATTTGTAGTGTTTACGTCGTTTCTAACAAAAATTTAGTTTTTATCTAAATCCTCAATATTCATACATGAACAAAAATGAATTATATATACAAAATACATAAAATTTTACCTGGGAAGATTGAAGATTAACAAAAATGACGTCATTTGAGCCATGACCAAATCGAAGCTCAGGTGAACCGGACTGAAAAGTGAACCGACAAAAAACCGAACCGGTTTCCAAAACTATAGAATACGAAGAACGTAAAACCATTGATGCAGATGAAACTAAAAATTTCTGCTCTTTCTGTTTTTGCTCCATTAATACAAACTTTTGAGAAAGATATTCGAAAAAAATTACGAAGAATTAATAGAAATTAGCATATGAATCGAAGTTAGGGTTTTGAGTGGAGAGTGAAAGGTGGTGTCGGACTGAGAGGGAGTGTGTTTATGGCGCCGCAATCTTTTCCTTCTTCCTTTTTGTTTTTTTATTCATTATTTATAGGAATATGAATATACTAAGAGGTAGTAAAAACATAATTAAGGATAATTAATTAAAAGACTACTTTTTTTTACCTTCTTATTATTACTAGTATTAGCACCCGCGCGATGCGCGGACACAAAGTATGTCAAATTATAATTTGTATTATTTAGGTTATGTGCAAATAACTTTACTATTAAATTTTCACATAAAAATTATAGATAATCATTAGATATTAAGAAAGAAAAGTACATAAAATCATTTTCCAAATCTTGTACTGGATAAGCTATTTTTTTCTTTTTGAATTTGTAAGAACATAATCTCTTGATTTTATTACTTGCATCTCGTTCCTTAATTAATATCATATCACGTTGTGATCTAAACATAATTAAATCATATTATTTTAATAAAATTCTTACTAAAACTTTGTTTTACATCTCAAGTTAAAATATATCTTATTTTTCTACATTTTTTTCTCTTTTTGTTCTTTGCTTATAGTTATTGTATTACTCATTACTTAATGTTGTCTACTATCATGTGATTTTTTATTAGTTTGACTTAATGTCTTGATAATTTTTCTTATAATAATTATCGATAATTATAATTTTTTATTCTTGAAATTTAATGTATTTTTACACTTTACCCTCTTACTCGAGACTCTTTTATCATTTAAGTGTATCAATAATATTATATTATCTATCTATTTAATTTATTTATTTATTTAAACTAATTCAAAGTATAAGTATAATTCAAAGTATATATTTAAAGTCTAATATATAGTATTATCATATTTTCATGTGGTTTTCATTAACTTGTCGCTTCATTTAATATCATTATCTAAATATAATATAAATAGATAAGTAAAATTTTGATCTTGCATAAATATTTATTTTATTTTTAGACTATTTCTCTAAATTCTTAAATTATTTCAATTAGTCAATAATTTTTTTAAGTATTGCATATTTATTTTA